AGTTGAATGTAGCCGAAGGTCCAGCTACACGGGGTAAACAGTCCGAGGTACCGAAACCTCGTCTCATCATGGGTCTACTAACCCCTGTACACGGAGGTAGGCAGAGGTAGACCGAGGTAAACCTAGCTAGACGCAGGTACCGGGGGGGTCGGTCTACTTGGGGTCGGAACGCAGTGATAGCCATTTCCCGATGATTCCGGTATGCCGAGCACTCGGGAGATACTTGCTTGCTAAGCGGTGCCTTTATATACCGTCCCAAATGTGTCGCTCTCTCATCCGCCTCTATTTGAGCTATGACTATCACCCAAGATTCCTCCGCACCCCTTGTCGCTGTCGTCGGAGCCACTGGGAACCAAGGCGGCAGTGTTGTTACCGCGCTGGCAGAATCAGACAAGCCCTACCGTATCCGTGGGTTCACGCGCGATGCGACCAAGCCCGCCGCACAGCAGCTCGCCGCGCGGGGTGTGGAGCTCGTCGTTGTGTCCCTCGTGCTCGAAAATAAGGCCGAAGTTTACAAAGCGTTCGACGGAGCAGATGTTGCCTTCGTAAGGTGTTTTCTTTCGGAAAGAATGCTCTCACTAATGAAATTACAAGCTCATGACCAACTACTGGGAGCATGTAGACGGGGAGCGAGTAAGCGCTTTCTTATTTTAATACTTGTCGGCTTTCCTGAACTGCGACCCAGGAAATTAGCGAGGGCAAGCTCCTCATCGACGCTGCCAAAGCCGCTGGCGTTTCACGTGTTGTGTGGTCCGGCCTGCCCTCTATCACAAATCTCAGCGGCGGAAAGTACACACATGTATGGCACTTTGACGGGAAAGCCGTGGTCACCGAATACGGCCGCCAGTCCGGCGTCCCATTCGTCGACGTCCAGGCTGGCGCCTACGGAACGAGTCTCCTCACCAACCCGGTTATGATGGCGAGACAGGACGACGGATCGTTCGTGATTCCGTGGCCCGTCAAGCCCACGTTCGTAGTGCCCTTCATCGACACAGTGCATGATTACGGACTGTTTGTGCGCTATGTCCTCGAGCTCCCGGTGTTCCCGGATGGTGGAGAGGTCGTCGCCTACAGCGAGAAAATTAAAATGGAAGACCTGGCGCGCCAGTTCTCCGAAGGTACATAAGGCAGTTTCGAATAATATCGTGTGCTGATGATACAACAGCAACGGGGAAGAAGATTGTTTTCGAGCAGGTATCTGTCGAGGAGTTCAAGCAAAGAGTCGAGACGCTTGGACTACCTCCGCACATTGTGCTGGACATCCTTGATGCGTTTCAAGCTTGGGACGAGTTTGGGTGTAAGCCCTTCCTTTGAAACTGACCACCTTATTGACAGATTTTCCATAGGGGCTAGAGATGCACCTGCTCATAAAGGTCTACCGAGACCTACGCGTACGTGGGCCGAGTTCGCCGAGGCGAATCAGGTGCTAGATACGGAGCGATTTCTTCAAGCAAAGTAACCACAATATTAATGTCTACTTGGCTGCGAAGGCCAACTGCATGTCAAGTTTCTCAAGGTGCATAATGAAAGGACTTGTTGGCTTTGAAAATTTCTCTCTCAAATGGACGAACCCGAAAAATCGAACCGTGAGAACCAATCCACCGATGATCTCAGTATGCGTGCCGAAAGTATTTAGTCGCTGTTGCGAACCGACTGCCCGTTTTCTCTCCCGACGATCCGTTATATGGAGCGGTGGGGAATGATTTTGTTGCTAATCCGGGGCGTATAATGTCGACATATCTGTTCCAAATTTATCCCTGATTTTCCTTCTGTTGTTTCGCAGGACACAAAAGAAGGTAGAACGACCCGTAGCGCTGAGCCTATCCGCTGCTAATAGATTGCAAATTCTTGGCACAAAGTCCCCGTTCGATCCCGGGGCGGGTCATGGCCGATAGGGATGATTATCTTTTCTTTCCTCTTCGCGTCAGATATTGAATGAGGCGAGCCCGTTCGGGCTCCACCGTTCAACTTCGGGGGTCGGTTCAGCTACCTTTGTAGTATTTCTCCCCCCCTGGGCCCGTAATGGGCGCACTCGCTTCATGGTAAGGGTATCTTTTCGTGTAAATGTTACAGCGGGACACCCGGTCGACTCGGGGTCGGGTCATGCGATGTTCAGCAGTTTCGGTTCTTTTGTGCATCTTCGCTCTGAAGTTGAAAACATCGCGAGAAGTTAGCTGCCAATATGTGAAGGAGGAAGGACCTGGTGAATTTCAACCTGCCGAGCCAACCTTCCCGTCGGCCCGCTTTCTTTCTTCTCCGGTATGGATAGCTAAAAGGTCAGAAAACCAGCGAGGAAGGAAAGAGAAGACCCGTTGCGCTGGATGCATCCGCTACTTGTCAATAGGCTTCACGCATCGAAATTACCATGTTCGATTCGGGGACGAGTCATGTGTTGAGCGAATAACTTCTTGTTTTTTGCCCTTCGTAATTCGGAAAAGCAGGAAAGCAAATTATGCAGCACCTGTCCAAGGGGGCGTGGAAAATAAATTGTCCAGGACAATGCCCATTTTGGGAAAAAAATATTCATATTTTTCTTTTATTTTTTTTCGGGGCTTTCAAGCAAAACGGCGAACATCTCAAAAAATTTCAGCCCAAGGTCGACCACCCCACCCCCCCAAATAAGGCAACTGTCATACCATATAAGGAAATGATGTCTCAGCTTATTTCTCGCCCAATTTTTGTCGGAAAATTTTCGGATAACCGCCAATCGACTCAGATTGATTGACTCTGTCAGGAATCGGCATTGTACCCTCCAGCTTGGTCTTCGCGCCCCCTTGCACCTGTCCACTATTTATTTTCTGTATGATTCCTAGGGATTTGGATGGGAGAGTTTGTGGGAGCACGCACCATTCTTCAGTGAACTATAACAAGATAACAAGACTATCAAGGGGCGTGCATCCTCGCTTCCGTGGGGACCCGTTCGATTCGGGAATGGTGATGAGTGAAGAACGAACTTTTTCTCCGCGCCGGCTTGACGTTGGCGAATGGTCAGGGCTGGTACAAAAAGCTGTTTGAATCCGGCGGATTTACTCAGGTTGGTATGTGTTTCCTGGAGAATGTACGCATGGCGGGAGGAAGCTCCGCGCGAAGGATGCCATCGGGTAAAATTGGTGAACACTGAACACTGAATCTTAACCGTAACGTCGGCCGTTGAACTTGAGCGGGAAGGATGTCATCGGGTAAAATTAGGCGGTGAACACTGGATCTGAACGTTGGCCGTTGAGTGGCGGGGGCGCCCACGAATCGATCCACAAAGCACAGTGGGTTCGAAAAGAGACTTTGCCCGTTGAAAAATACAGCGTAGCAGCGCAGAGATGGGCGTCCACGAAAAAAAAAATGTCGCGGCAGCAGATGGTTATCAGCTCGGGAGAGAACACGAGGCGCGCGCTAATCGAAGCGCCATCAACGGTCACATGATCGTGACGAACCATGATGCCATCAACCTGCCCCTTGTCTCCAACCCCCACCTTGACGTCGCTCAGACCTGCGCTACGACCTCTCCCTTCTCATCGTCGCCACTACACTTTCTCTTAAACTCTACCCACTACCCATATTACGATGGCCACCACTCAGTCCCATAGCAGATCCAAGAATGCGAGGACTCCCTTTATCGATGCATCCAACCGCACAGCGACGAGATACCACGCTCATTTACGCAGCCTCAGCGCTCCTTCTCCTCCCAAATCACCCCCGACGTGTACCGTATCTCTCGCCCACGTCACCACCTCTCCGGCCCTATCGATTTCGACCTCAGTCCCCTTGCCTCCGCTTTCGCCGCGCGTCCTGTTCCCCAGTGACGACGCAGACGCGCGAATTCATGGGCAGAGGGATCATGTACGGTGTCCCCAGAGCCTTGGCGGCGCCCGAGAGCCCGCACGTCGCACGTTCGGACGCCACGTCGCGCACAGCTGCCATCTACACCCACACGGCGAATCTCCGAGCATCCCCGTACCAACGCCACTCCGAGTCCCGATGCTAGGGCTCCCCGCCCCGCTCCTACCGCTTCAGATCTCCGCCTGGCTGCTCTTCTGGAGCGGAGTATTGCGCTACACCTCACTACGCGGCTAATAGTGTCGGACCTGGATAGTCAGGACGTGCTGCTCGCCTCGCGCCTGCGCGCATTTCTTGCGCTGCATGGCTGCGGCTCGCGGCCTTCTTCGCCGACCACTGGTGCCGGTTTCGTACCTGCTCCATGTGCCCCATCCGTGCTGCTCTCTGGGAGCACCGGCGCTATCCCTTCGCCTCTACCCGTGGCGGCATCAGCCCCGCTGCGTTTCATAACCAGCCGAGCGCGCTCCGGCTCCCGCGGTAGCGTCAACAGCACCGCAACGCTTAGCATGCCCGCGCTTGTCGCGACTTTGCTCCTCCGCCGCCACGAGGGCGGGCGCATCACTTTGGCGCGGGATGTCAAGCGGAAGCTTCCCCCATCGCTGCTCGGCGTGCACTCTTTCTCGAGCTAGCCTCCAGCCCCCCTCTTTTCCCGGCCAACCTTACTCTCGAGCGAGCCTCTTGCATTTTTCCTCTCATCATCTCTAGCGCCACCCACTTAGATTTTAGACTTGTCGCATGATTTGCACGCCAGCACGACAATCCACGATACATCACCAACCGATTCAACCATACTTACCATGTCCGTTCACGCATCCATCCATTTCTTCGCATATGCTAGACCTTCATTTCCGCGATCCATTCTCCACAAGCACGCCGCGCACCCCCTCCCTCCATCCCCACCCACCCATGGACCATGGGCCATTATATCAACATACTGACACTGTACGCTCCCGATACGCACAACCCACGCACGCACGGACGAAAACAAGATACTTACATTGTAGCACCACATATCGTCTGTACACCCCGCATTTTTCAATTCAACTTGATACTCGCAAATCACATATCGGAACCTGGCTTTCGCACTTTGTATTTTCTTATCGGCGCTCGATTGCAACTCAACTCATGCAGGACTTCCGCCCTCGACCTACCTTCCTGTAGGACCAGAAGGCCCGGTGGCGGACGGTCCGCACCTGTTTATTGTTGATACGCCGTTCGCGAGAGCATACGCAGGGACGCTCGTTCGACTCGAGCTCGGGCCTTAGTCGGGTTTTCGGCAAGCTTTTTTCCGGAAACTCGGTATGCACGTCTTACTAGCCTCTGCGACCGACGGAACTGCTCTTTCCAGGGAATTCCTCTGAGATTGGTGCGATCGGGACCAAGGAGTATGATCGCAGTCTCCTTCCAATTTCCTGCGATAAAGGTGCGGTGCGGTCCTAATCAAGCTTGCAGGGATGCGGGAAAGGCCCGGTTGTGGACGGATTCCACGCCTGCTTCCCATACGGTGGAGATCCTGTCTACGTAGGAGCGCTCGTTCGACTCGAGCCCGGACCTTCAACAATGATCGCGACATCCTTTTTTTCTACAGAGGAATACACTGATAAACGTTCCTCCAGGACTTGTCAGATCAAGGGTACGCTCGAGCATGTAGCGGACGGGCTTCTCGTTGCGGGAATATGGATGGCCACGGCGGGCAAACAGTCCGTTCACTTTTTTTTTCTCTCTCTCTCTGTAGATACGCGGTACTAATCAAGCTCGCGGGTACTTAGGAAAGCTCGGTGGTGGGAGGATTCCATGCCTGCTTCCCGCGTCGCGAGCAGGAGCGTTCGTTCGACTCGAGCTTGGGCCATGAAATGTTACGCGTCCCATATTTTAAAATCGCCATGGCTTTGGTTCCAACCTCAGAACTTGGGTGTAAGGGGATTACGATGAAGCCCTTCCAAGATGTGGGAGTTCGCATGTGCATATTACAGGAACGGCATGGTGCTGGACCGATTCCAGGCCGGTTTCCGGTATGGTGAGCAAATAATAGGAGGGCTGCTTTGACTCAAGCGTGTCCCATGTAGCTGATTGTGCTAACCAAGGTCGCAAGACCGAGTTGGAAACGAGGCTGGGGCACTGGGCCGTATCGTTTGATCAACTATTTTTCTTTCTTATAGAATTTTGTATGTAATTTATCCCTCCCGTACTTGCAACAAGACTTGAACCGTTTCAACCCCACAACCCCAACCCGGCGGCGCACCGGCATGATGATCAATTCTGGTGGCTGACAGCTGTACCTCCGCAGTTCTTTCTTTCACTTACCTTCACCATGGTCGATCCACTTTCTCCTCATCTTGCTCCCTGTGGTCTTTCGGCTCACGCTTTACTTACTGTCTCCTCTTGTTCGCCGGCTGAATCACCTCGATTGATTCCTCCCGTGCCTCCTGGCGCGGTGGCACTAGAGCATGCGCAGTTCATCTCCGTGTCCGGCCCCGGGCCGTGGCGGCGGCGTCCTCGTGCAAACCTTTCACCTCGTTTCCTCTATCTCACCAAGAAGGAACTGTGATTAATATCAGGTTGTGAAATCTTTGGATGTCTCCTTCCTTTTGATACTACAGTATCGTGCGTCGTACGTTAACGCTTGCTCCCTTGCTCCATAGATATCATTCTGTCGGCGATCCTGGGTGGCTATTCGATTCATGCGCCGACTTGGCTATATTCGGCGGCTTTAGACTGGGCTCTCTACTGGGTGGATCAAGTCTCTGGCAAGCAAGACACGACTCGGACGTGGGAGTTCGATGGCCAAGAACGCCGAAGGCCTCGACCCCCTGCATGCTACTTAGGCGTGTTCCACCATCCTTTGTTCTGCACGTTCCCTAGACTATGCCCTCCAGCAGGGACTCGAACCGCATCCGCGCCTCTGTGTACGATGTCTTCCTCGAGCTTGGCGCGTTAGACGCGAACAGTCGCGTCGCAGACTGGTTCTTCACCGATCCCAGCTGCGTCCTGCCCAATCCAGACGAGGTCGCCTGGCGTTCACCTCGGGACACCGTCAGATTCGCTCACGGGTCCAAGCATCCGCAGGTGTTTCATCTTCAGCCGCCTCCAAAGATGGCGCAGAAGAACATTATAACGAGCAAGCCGCAGCGGCCGGCTTGTATCGAGTCCTCTCGTCCGACTTCTCCCCCACAGCACATCTCCGCAACGAATTCTAGCACGTCCTCATGCGATACTAGTTCTCCAAGCTCGGCTTGTGATGGGTCCGGGACGGATGAGACACCCATGTCAGCTTTCAGTTCCGCCAGCGAATCTTCGATGGAGACGAGAGGCAGATCCAACCCCGCGTTTACCGACACACGCACGAAAACTCTCCCCTCCCTCCCCCTGACCCGGGAGCGCTCTGGACTCATCCGCACCGTGTCTTCCTCCTCTGTCGCAAGGGCGAAGTCCCTGTTTCGCCGTAGGCGCTCAAAGGCGTCGGTTGGCACCACCGCCAACGCGGCGGACGAGCGCGAGCGCGACGAGGCGCTAACGCAGTGGCACAAGGTCTCCTCGCTTCTTCCGCGCGTCCACAATCCCTCCGTCGACAACGGTCTGGTTCCCCTCTCCCCTCCACGGCCGCAGAGCGGCTCGCGGCGCGTCCCGTCGGGCAGCTGCGAGGACACAGGGCGCGCAACGAGTGAAAGCCCGGTGACCATCCCGCCTCGACGCTCGCTCTTCCGCTCCCTGAGCCGGAAGCGGCGTGAAGCCCCTCCGCGACTGCTGCACGTCCCCGAGCCAACAAACCGCGTCTCGGCCGACAGCACCTGCCCCTGGGGCCCTGACACGCCCATCGTGTTCGTCGCGCCGATTGACACCCCTGGGCCCACGCCACTCCATACGGCGGCGCTGCGGCGCTTTTCTGACGTGACATCCATGACCGTCCACCCCCAATCCGTCTCATGCACCCCGAGCAGCATGGCCTTCCCCAGTAGCGTTGTCTTCCCGCCGTGGGACGAGGAGCCGGCGGTCCGGCGTCGCAGTTACTACGCGCGCTCCGAGTCCTCCTTGCACGACGCGTTGGCCGTCGCGAGTGCGGCGTCTCCGTACGATTTAAACAGTCAGACTGGGTCTGGGGAGAGGATACGTCGCGGAAGGGAGCCGGCGTTTCCGTCGAGTCCTTTGCTCTCGGAGCCGTTGGGCGGGGAGTTATCTAGGGAGGCGACGATCCGCCGGTATCGCGAGTTTTCGGAGACGTTGGCGTGGTGGTGAGGTTTGGGGCGGTTGGGCTCGAGAGGCTTGTTGGCTGTTGGTACCGCGGGCCGGTGGTGGTAGAAAGGACGATATGTGCGTCGGTAGCGACGCTTCGCTGAAGTGTAGAAATAAAGCCTAGATACCCTTTTGCCAGGTACTTTTCCCTGTCGATTCCTGAGGCCATGGGTTCAATGCAAAAAAAACATTTCTGTTTGATACCGCCTTGTGCCTTGTCCCTGCTTACCGGTCAAATTCCAATCAGCGTTGGATTGTGAATCGGATTCAGGTGCTCCGGTTCCATTACACTCGTGAACCAAATCTGGTGGGCTTGGCCGTCCTTGCGGAAATGCTTGGGCGGTTTGTCTACGAATTGTAATCATAATATGGGCGGGGTGAATCCTTTGCAGACTTGAATGGGAACGGGGTACTGTACGCAGTAGAGTAGCCTTGTTGCTACAATCCGCTGAGGTTAAGCCCTTGTTCTACACTGCGGGAAGTAAAAGTACTCAAATGTAGTACCCGAACAATAATTTGGCCAAAAAAAGCACTCAGAATGAGAGCATCAATCTGTAGTGCTTTTTAGGGTACTCAACCCGAGTGCTTTTGAGGTACTATCTCAAAATACAATACATTCAAGGTTTTCTCCGGATTTCAACCAAAACTGACCGCTGACTGTGGCAATCGCCGTGATGGCATCATATCTGACGCCAATCACGTCTCGGCATCGCCCGAGGCGACTTTTCTTACACTCGTGCATACCGACGCCGACACTCATCCAGAGGCCCACTCCGTCCGTTCCTGAGCACAAACCATTTCGCCTTGTTTGCCAATTGATCACCTCTTACTACTCCGGGACTCTCTGGCCTCCAATTATATATATCCGCCTCGTGCAAAATCCATCCGACTTATCGGTGCCGTGTGTGTAGCTCTCCTGGCAGCGTCTTCCGTCAAATTCGGTGGTGATCCTATGTTCCCTGCTGCTCCAAACGTTCTGTGGACCAAGAACGCCATACGTGCTGGGATGCCCACCTCTCGCGATGACGCCTGGCCGACACAACGGCGGAAGAATCGGCTGAAAACCACGCTACTGTCATTGCAAACCACCTTGCGGGGAGCTGCTAACGGGAAGGACGCCACGCGATCATTACACCAAGGATCTTGCCATCCGAATCCTGGTCCGGATCTCTCTCCTTATCGTAGACGGCGGCGGCGGCGGCTCATATGATATATCATGCGTTCATCTTTTCAAAAGTACCTGTCGGTTGTTCCATTTCCGATCGAGTACGCGTCAAATCCAACGCGGGAGCGCCGATGCCGGTGCGGGTTCTGAAGCAAGGGGCTCGCTGCTCTATATATCTGCTCCTATCTCTGATTTGTGTCGTCAAAACAGCTGTGTTGAAACGATTACCAGTCTCCCTGCGGGCGAAGTGCTGTGCTATCAAGTGTTTGTTTTGATTTAGATCTCTAACTTCTGTGAAGTGAATTTCTGTCAGCAACCTCAGGTTAAGGCTTGAAGCGATACATGATACCGCCCTTCACTTTTTTGGTTTGGTCTCCGGAGCCCACAGCGCTTCGAGCTGCGACACCGAATCCGCAAATAACACATGTCCGCTGTCAAATTTCATGCTCCGTAGTTGAACTGGACGTGAGCTTTTCGTCTGCGCTTTGCTGCAGACACAATCGCGCTCTCCGGGTTGAATCGATCTCTGGCCTTTCTGCACGCAAGGTCAAGACCTAACAGAACAGTATGCTTTGTCTTCCGATCTGTTCGAGCCCATGGCTTGTTTTGATTCCATTTGCGTGCCAGTCCTGAATGTCCAATCTCGACCTTTTCCACGTGCGCGCACGGCATCCAAGGTGAAATTCAACTCTTTCTGCAACATTCGACTGCGGGACACGCTTGCTGTTGTTACTGACCGACTCAACTCAGCTGTTGCCCTGTTATGTTCTTGGTAGGTTCTCGAAACAAATTGTATTGGTATGCATTCGCAATGCTGTCCATGTTCGATTGTGACCCTCCGTTTTGTACAGCCGGCCGTCGTCGCAC